TGAATAGTATAAAGAAATTTATTCATGTTGATTTTATATTAAATAAATGACAATGTCTTTTAGCCCTGATATGGAGAATGAAAGTGAGAATTTTGAATGGAAATCGGCAGAAATGTGTTTAAACTGGTGTTTATATACATCATGTGTCATGGGTGTACCAGAGATTACAAGTTTTTATTTTTTTTTATTTATTTTTACATGCGAACATGCGAATAAATACAATAAAATAATAAACTAATAACAAACAATCAGACAAAAAAATACAGAAGCACAAAGCAAGTTAATACAAAGTAACACAAATACACTAAATACCGGCCCGAAGGGCCGACAACAAAAACACAACAAGGAGCATAAACACATTGAAACACAACACCGGACAGAAGGGTAACGGAAATATGATAAATACAACAAAAAAACAACAACACCGGCCTGAAGGGCGCACAAAAGGTACACCACATTGCAACTAACCACAGGTCACAGCAAGCACACAGACTACTCAAAGTGTTCATACTTATCCGGCCACACCGCCGCCGGGAATCGAACACAATACGCCTCCCACAGTAACATTACGTCATTCGGAACAGGTACGGTATTAACAGTACGAGGATCAGGCATTAACTCTGGCACACCCACAACAAAACACCGAGCCCGCTGTACCCAGATGGGCACCACGGAACAGGATGGACGCGGTCAATAATGTCAAACTGCAAAGGATGCTGCGCATCATGCGCCACTCCGGAGGCCAAGATGAGAGGGAGGGGCACTTTCCCACGAGGCCGGGCAATGGGCAGCGCACTGGGAGCCTCCTAGGCCGCCTCACAGCACTCTGCGTCAACCACCGGACGTTGTTCCTGCCGGGACCCCCCACGCTTGGCATCCTTCCTCAGCACCAGCTTGATGCCTTGGCGTGCACCAGAACTCTCACCACCCACGTCAGTAGGAGCGACCACCCCCACTGCGGAGAACCTTCTGCAGGAGAAAGAACAGGAGGTAAATCATAGGTACAAACATCGTCAACAGCAGACACATGGACATCAGCCACCACCACCGTCGGAGAGCGCGAAGCACCTGGAGTCGCCACATCATCTCCCGAAGCTCCACCTGCGTCGTAGTCCTCCACATCAGCCCAAGCAGTAGAAGAACGCCTGGAATGCTTGGGCACTGGCCGCACATCCTCACAGCCGGAGGCGGACCCAGAACCACGGGCCTCACGAACCGGGCGAACCGACGCCCGTCGCAGAACGACAGCAGCCTCTACCACAGGGGGAACCGGACCACACACACAGTAGGAGGCTCCACAGCCACCTCAGCACCCAGCACAGGAGGAACCCGAGGGGAGGACGCAGGGCCAGGGTCCACAGCCGAAGACGAGGAAGCCGACGGCGACGCTCCACAGGGATCACCAGGAAGGTCCACGGGAACAGCAGGGCCAGAGACATGGTCAGGAGGAACATCCGACGGCACCGCAACACCCGGAGGAGGGTCTGCGACAACCGGGGAAACGTCGGGTGACACTGGGGGAGCCGCAGCAGCGAACGGGACGCTCACCTCCTCACCCCCAGAGTCCTCCTCCAGAGGGAGCGGCGGGAAATCCTCCTCACGGAACATGTTCACAGGAGCGACCGGATCAGCAGTACACCCGGCAGCCTGATGCCCCAACAAGCCACACCGGAAGCAAGTACGGGGTTGCTGGGCATAAAACACATGCACGTAGTACCCCAACAGCCGGACAGAGCACGGTATGTCCGACCTCAGTCGCATCCCGAGGGTCCGAATGTTGGTCTTCACACCCGAATACGTGCCAGACGACAGCGAGTTCATCCGCACACTGATGACGGAGCCGTACCTCTGGAAGAATCGCCGGAGGAGAGTCTCAGGAAACTCCATGGGGGCGCCATGAACACTGACATACGTCACAGCACCACAACGGTCTGAAATGGTCACAGGCCCGATGCCATCCTGTAGCTGCAAAGTACGTCCCTCGTACCTCCGTAAGAAAGCACGGTACACCGCCTCACCCACAAACTTGACAATAACACGGTGAACAGCTCAATGCCATATACGTCCCCAACCGGGACACGAAGCATGTCACTCAATACCACGTCCACCAGCGGGTAACCAGCACGGCCAGTAAACTCCAATCCGATGGAGTTTACCCTCACGACAGGGGGAAGATAGCCGCCCATCGTAAAAGCGCCACGTCCACACCACCAGGAACAGCAGGGAGGGTAGAGACACCCACACCCCCTGCCTGCGAAAACGGCAACCACCTCAAACTACCGGAGCGATCAGGCGACACGTCCTCACTGCACGGCAGCTCAGGACAGAATCCCTGAGATTACAAGTGGATGATTAAGTTAAATATGGAAGGAAGTGGTTCATTTTGGTTGTTTTGACATGTCAGTTATATGCCTCTGAACATTAAATGAGAATGATCTATGTAATGCAAGAGGTAATCATATGACAGAGGAAGGTAACCAACCACTTCAGATGCTAGAATCAAATAGTGTGTGAAAGAAAGTGTGGGCTTAGGATTAGTGAGTGATTTTTAAAGATGTATGCACATTTTATAAATTAAATATCTATGCAGGTGACAGTGGCTATCCCTTGCAACACAACTTACTTACACCCTTCACAAACCCTGAAAACCCTCCAGAAGAGCTGTATAACAGGAGCCATGCAAGAACAAGAGTTTTGGCGTGTTAAAATCTCGGTTTAGGTGTCTCCACAGGTCTGGTGTGTTACGGCCCTCTCGGGACGCAACGGGGTTCTTGCTCTGATGTTGTTAGAGGAAGATATATGTATCCGTTCCCAAGCCAGTAGAGGCTTTCAAGGGATGTGATCCGTGACGCAAGTAACTTAAAGGGAGTATGGAAAGAAAGTTAAGAACTTAATATAATATATTATTACCACCACCTATTAAATATATAAAAGATCAAACGTGCACAAGGGGAGGGTATTAACACTATACAAGGGGATCGACACTGTAGTCTTCTGCTGGAGACTATGGATCCTCGAAGCTAGGTGCTGAGTCCGCGGTGCTTTCTTCGTGGCCTCAAGACGTGTCCTCGGAGAACGCCGAGTCTACCCTGGCCACAGGTCAGCCACAACACAGGTCCACTGGGGGCACCGTCGTGGAGGCCGTCAACCACACGTCCAGCAGGTCTGCTGGCAGGTACTGAGCCACCAAGGCTGGTACGGCCACTCCACGAACGATATAAGGGGTACGCCCTAGACAGGAGTCTCGTGTGATATCACCAATCACCCTCCTGTCCTCAATACCCCAGTGGATTATCGTCTCCAAACGTCGATCCCGGGTAAATCCTTCCACTGCCACTCCACTGGCAGGCTTAACACACCACAGTGTTCTTCCGGGGGGACGACGCCACGACAGCTGCAGCAAACTTCACTGTATGGAGACTGGCTGCCTCGGGTAGACTGACTCCACCTTCAACACAGTGGTCCCAGGTCGGCTCTGTAAACAGACACGTCATTAATAACTGGGACACTAATACACCACACTCACAGGCTCAGATACAAACGCCCGTCATATCCACTCCATAGATGGCGCTGGCGTCGGAGCACCACCTCACCAGAGGTCAGGAGCGGCGGTGTTGAGCGCGGAACCAGACTAGAAACTGGTCCTCGAGGCCAGTACACGCTGTCCTCACTAGGTGTCGTCGTTCGTTTGGAAGGGGTTTCGGGAGCTGACCCACAGATGGCGTGTTTGTCACTGCTCCAGGCTCGGACGTTGGATCCGGGTTCGTAACATGGTGGTAGTCTTCAATATGAACCAGATAAATGTGCAAAGATTTTAGTTGCATGTATGTTGTTGCACAATTATTGCATTGAGCAAAGAATACCTCTTAAAGAGATCGTTGATGATGACTTAATAATGAATGAAAATGTCGAAGGTGGAGCACATGAAAATGGAAACACAAAGAAGAGAAGTAGTAAGGAATTTTTTCTCATAAATTTTTATTTCAAATCATACTTATATAACAAAGTAAAACATGTAATTGAAAACACTACATAATGGAACTTTTGTATAAAAATACAAGTACAGTAACTCAAGAATTTATCAATAAGGGAAATCAAAAACATTTATAATTTGATTCATAGATTTATTTGTAAGTTATCCTATCAATTTTTACCTATTAAATTCAATAGCACATACTGTATATGTAAGTGAAACATAAATATACAAACAAACTGTTACAAACATGTACCTGCTGATTTGGAAATATTATTTATGCTGCTATACTTTATATGGAAAGTCAGATACCTGAGGAGAAATATATGCATCTGACAAAAGACCAAAAATTTGTGTGAAAAATATATCAATAAATATTTGTTCATAGACACTAAGAAATGTGGTACATAATATGGCTGGGTAAAGTTTTGGTTTGTAAAATAACAGTGTTTGTTAGCCAATGCTGTGTACGCACAGCATTGGCCTTAAAATTGAATTATTTTAATTATAAAATAAAGTTGCTTTCAATACAGTACAGTGTATAATATACCTTACATGTAAGGGAAAAATTAAATATAATTTTGTTTAAATGATATACACAAAACAATGATATAGGCCATCAATATATTGCCCTTAGACCAATTTGAGGTGAAACATATATTAGGGATGTGATAAAATATTTATATCTTTGCCATTAATCATTTTGCCAATAAAAATGTTTCTTATTCTGGTGTTTTTTTTCATATTGTCACTACTTTGAACTCTTAGCAATTAAACCTAGCAATTGATAAACATTCTTTAATACAAAAAACATGTAAATATTTTCACCAAACGTCAGTTGAATATATGAGGTAGCTTGATTATTAAATTACACTATATACTATGCAAGTCATAGCCAAATTAATGATATGAATAACTGTTACATTTTAATGTTTCAATATTGTTCTTATTTACAATTGTTATTACAAAATATTATAATTTCTTATCCTAATTTTAGAGATTATAATTAGAAAGATTTAAATAAATTTCATAGTGCCTGATTATTTTTCATACATTCTACCAACTCCCATATACCTTTGGATATATCCTTGAGGGATTTGTTTAAGTCCTGTACTTCTTTAACCACCTCCTTGAAAGACTTGTTTCCTACATCTACTGCTTTTGCCACCTCCTTTAAGGACTTGTTCCCTTCATGAACTTCTGCAGCCACGTCCTTTAAGGCTGCTGGCACTTTATGTACAACATCTATAAGATTTTCATGCAGCATTAACACTTGTTGTGTTGTATTATGTTCTGCAGTCATTTGTTTTTTTCTTGTATGCGTACTAGAGATTGAGGCTTTGGAGTAGTCATGGCCTAAACACGATGGATGAAATTGATCAATTGGTGAGGCAGAAGGCTCACCTGATTTCTGTACATTTAGCACTTGCGAATCATCTGTGTCCATGACCACTTCCTCTGTTACACAGTTTGGTTCTGTAAACAAAAAAAATTAATATAAGTGAATTTGTTTGAATACATTCAGTGGATTATGATAAATTTAGCTAATTTGAGGGACTTCAATATAAGCCTAACAAGTATGAATACACTCTGGCTTCCTGTTCCCAAACACAATAAATTATTATAACTTATTATCTCGATTTCCATGCTTGAGGATTAATTACTGACCCTGTCCAGGATGCAACTGCACCACAAGCTGTCTAACTCTTGAGTAGCTGTATATTGCTAGGTGAACAGGGCCATAAGCTGATTGGAAATGTCATGTCTGGGATTCGAACCCCGAATTATATATTGTAAGTCTACAATGAACCCAACTTTACAATATACAAAAAGAAAGAAATTATACTTTTTAACGAACACAGGTAATTTGACATATGAATAAACAAATCCTGTCAGCTGTAAAAATATTTATGGAATTATTTAAATAAAAAATATCATAAAACAAATATTTCTAGATCATGTTTTTCCTATCTTTGGTATATCCAGTTTAAGTGTATTACAGTATAACCATATACTCTTTTATGCATTTTCTCCTGATAATTACCTTACAATTAAAATTATGCTGTAGTTCTTGGTTCAGGCCAAGGTAATGCAAAGAATTTGGAAAATTCTTTGAAATATCAATCACAAATAATAAAAAATTAAGATATACCTGTACTGCAAAATTTAATGAGTGAAAAGAAATATGACTAACAATGCATATTACATACCAATAGCGGATCTTAATGATCGATGGTTAATATTTATGAACTTACAATTTGTTTAGCAATAGTGTTAGCCTGTGTAGGCCTTGCCCATCTAATTTGTGATGTCCTCTTAACAAATACTAAAGTAATGTTGCTTACTAGGGTTGAAAAGTAGTTTATATAATCAAAATCCTGTTAATAATATTTATATTTTGTAATTACTTTACCTAACGGTTATATATAACTGTTTGCCAAAATAATTTAACTCAAGTTGCATAAGTAGTGAAAAGTATCACTTCTACAAAATGCTTAATTTGTTTAATATACAAATCTTTGATCTTTAAATATATATTTTTTGTGATTAATAAACAAATATAAATTTGAATCATAAAATTTTACTTTGTCATTAATTTTTATATACCAATTGAACCTAAACAAATTTCATTTAGTCCTCGACACAAAATCTTTAGACATAAAAAAAGAGTAATACATTGTACCTTCTACGGTATAATCCTGTCCTGCATCACTGATGCCAGCAATACCTTCAGCTGATGTGGAACTTTGTAAAGTTGACAAATTTTCTTCATAGTTGGTCAATGGTTGAGTGTCACATTCTCCACCACCTATATAAAGAAAAAGCTACATGGAAAAACAACATAAAGGTACAATTACATGAATATTTCACTTGATATTCTACGATTACATGTAAAATATCAAAATAATTATATATGATATTGGAAAAGTCGCCGATATCCTAACAATGCTTTCTTATGGATAATGCTGCAGAAAAATAACCTTTGTGCCTTAATTATTACTTAAATAGTCATACAAAATCTAGTAAACTAATAAAAAAATTTTCAATATAAAGTGTTCAAAGGTGCCTGACAGCTGAGTGGACCTTCTACCATAAATCTACTTAACCGTACCATAAATCTACTTAACTCACCAGTTTTTCTCATTTCCCGGGCATTTTCTGCCAATTTTTTCTTGACTGAAGAGTTAAGATCCTGAAATTTCTTGCGAACATCGGCTTGTTGTCTTGAGCAGAGACCAACACCACTTACAGCAACAGCTACTTGGCTCCAGGCACAGTGTTTATCTTGGGTAGTGACTTGTCTTGATTGCTTCCCAAAAATTATGCTTTCTCTCTTCTTAACCTCATCAACGAGAACTGACAGCTCCTCTTCACTGAAGTTTGCTTTCCTTTTTATCCCAGACATTTTCTTTGTCTTATTTATTTATGAATACTAAGAGGATGTAGTATGTTTTTTTTGGTTCTTGATGGTAGGTGTAGTTTGCGTGAAGTGTCTATTCTCTCGATGACTGCACGAGTACAAATGTTGGGAGACGCGTTTATTTATTTATTTATTTATTTATTTATTTATGCATATACAAGAATGTACATAAGGAATGTGAGGATACAAATATGGTAATTACAGTCTTGTAAAGCCACTACCCAGCAAACATTTCCATGTTTTTAAAACGTCCTAAAAACCACATTTCATTGTTTTTAGCACGTTTATAATTACGTTTAGAAAATGTTTTTTGAGAACTTTTATATACAACCTTAGAACATAAATAATTAACATTTCTAAAAACTTTTTTATAATCTTTTAATTACCTACATTAAAACGTTTAGGGTAAATTAGGGTATAATAATTTTTTAATTCATATCTGAAATAGAAAGGGAGAGAAAGAAAGAAAGAAGACATATCTGAGAAAGAAATGGACATCCTATATATGTATGTGTAAATTACAAATAAATAGGGTACAAAAAGATAATTAAAATATTATATTTATTTAATTAAGAATGAGTAATACAACAAAATATATGTAATAGCTCAAAATATATAGACTATATCTAACAGAATATAAAAGTAAAAATTTAAAAATCTATATATGCAATATGTGAACACAATAGATTTCCTGATCAAGCAGCCTGTGATTCATGTCATGCTGAGATCAGTCTGACGTTACAAGCAGTTATTGTTACTTAAAACTAAAACAAGTAAAATTTCCCGAGTATACATATAACACTATAGTTTTTCTATGACTAAAAATAAAAATCTATAAATCAAAAGTTTAGGACTAATTAACTAAAAATAAAAATCTACAAGTGAATGTAAACAGAGCCAAGTATAATATTCATGTAGAAAGAGAAAGAAAAGATTTTTCTTTCTTTCTTTCAGAGAAAGAAAGAAAGAGAAAAAGAAAGAGAAAGAAAGAGAAAGAAAATGAAAAAGAAAGAAAAAGAAAGAAAAAGAAAGAAAAAGAAAGAAAATAAGAGAAAGAAAAAGAAAGATAGAAAGAAAAAAGAAAGAGAAAGAGACAAAATATATATTATTCAAGAGAACTTGACAATTAAGCACCTTCAAACAATTTATGATCAAGCAGGCTGTGATTCATGTCATGCTGAGATTAGTCTGACGTTACAAGCAATTATTGTTACTTAAAACTAAATCAAGTAAAATTTCCTGAGTATACACTATATACTATATAACATAACACTATAGTTTTTCTAGCATAAATTGTAATTGTAAAGTAAAATCTTAAAGATTAGAACTAATTAACTAAAAATAAAAATTTACAAGTTAATGTTAACACAGTCAAGTATAATATTCATGTTAGCACCATGCAAGAAGAGAGGAGACAGAACAAAATTAAGGCAAGGAGAGAGAAGACAGAACAGAAACAACAGAGAGGGGAGAGAGAACATTGAAGAGAAGGGGAAGAGAAAGACAAGATAAGAAAAAGATACAAGAAAAATATACAAGATAAAAATGACGTAAGTGAATACCACAAATGTAAAAAGTAAAGGAAGAGAGAAGCTAGAAGAGACAGAAAACGAGAGATGTTAGAAGAGAGGAGGAAAGGAGAGATAAAAAGAGACAAGAAAAACAGGAGAGAAACGTAAAAGAAATAAAAAAAAGGGACATTTGTGAGGAGAGAAAATAAAGAGGAGACCAGAGAAGACCATATATCAAGAGTGTGAGGATAAACACTTGTATATTTTTTTAGACATCCTCTGCCTCTTGTTGCCCCTCTTGTATACAAATAGTACTTGCAAGCTTTCCCTGAAAAGATATTACCAAAATTAATATTTAATTATTTGTTTATATAAATTACACACACAAACTTTATATATATATAAAATTTCGTAAACCTCATCCTGTAAACATTCATGTTTCTACATGTTATACAAGCTAAGAGGATGAGGGAAGGGGATGTTCCCTCCATGCTGGATATTATATTTACCAGGAAAGAGGAAGATATATTTATCATTCAGTACCTCCCTCCTTTGGTACCTACCTCCCTTTTCCTCCTTTCAGTACCTCCCTCCTTTTACCCAAGTGACATTGGTCACTTGGGTAAAAGTGACCATGTCTTTTTGGGAATAAAGTATGCAATGCATTATAATCTGGAAGAAAATGAGCTTGAAGCAGTTGAAAAACCTGATTTGTGGAGAGGTCATTATGGGGAACTCAGATATTTCCTTAAGGAATTTGACAAACACTTGCTGTTAGGACATGAAGTAAATGAGATGTATGTCAAGTTTTGTGAAATATATGATAATGGCACAACAAAATTTATACTAAAGCAGAGATGCAGAACTAGGAAAAGGGGATTTGTTCAACAGAAATTGCCCAAACATACAAGCAATACAAAGATGCGAGAAACAACAATAGCAGTACGGAGAGGGGCAGAAAGACTGACTTTCGGTCATATTCAACAACACAAATATACATACACACACACACATTATTGGAAAAAATTGGAATTGGAATATTGGAAAAAATAATTAAAACTAAATGGGTAGAACACCTGGAGAGAAATGATATAATTTCTGATCAGGGGGAGAAAGATACTGGCAGTATGGGGCTTTAAATTTATTGAAGATTAAATTCTGCAGAACATGTAAATATATAAAGTTTCAAATATATAAAGTAAGTAAATATATAAAGTTTATATTAAACACGGTTTATATTATAGACTTATAACAAAGTTTATATTATATTAAACTTAATATTGAACATGTAAATATATAAAGTTTCAAATATATAAAGTAAGTAAATATATAACGTTTATATTAAAATATATAAAGTAAATATATAAAGTAAGAATTAACAGTAACAATTCCAAGTCCGAGGACTAGATTTAACTTAAAAGGTACACCCGTAGTAAGTATGAGACCTTAGCCTATAGTGACATGGAAACTAATTCTGCAGAAACCTAAAGGTTAACTGGTACTAGAATTAAGGCCGAGTGCAAATGTGTAGTAATTATATAACACTAGGATATAACAGGCAGGACACAAAGAATAACTAATAAGTGAGAGACCACATAACACGTAATGTACCCGGCCAAGAGGCCGTAAAAGACCTAATGAATAAGGAGAAGGGGGTGTGACTACAAGTAGGGCTTACTAGCACCTAGACTGGGCAAAGTACTAGCTGCGGACAGCGGGACACTTGGGGACCGGCGCTGCACCCCCCTTCCCACATGCAGTGGGGAGAAAAGGGGACAACTGTGCAAAGCATGACGGGGGTACAAAGACTGCCGCTTGCAAAGGGGAGGCGGGTGGGTTTTTGCGAGGGCAGCGGCGGGGGCAGGCGGAGTGAGGGCAGAGCCCCACTGTGCGCCCGTATTTATACGGCCCCATTTTCTGATCAGGGGGAGAAAGATACTGGCAGTATGGGGCTTTAAATTTATTGAAGATTAAATTCTGCAGAACATGTAAATATATAAAGTTTCAAATATATAAAGTATGTAAATATATAAAGTTTATATTAAACACGGTTTATATTATAGACTTATAACAAAGTTTATATTATATTAAACTTAATATTGAGCATGTAAATATATAAAGTTTCAAATATATAAAGTAAGTAAATATATAACGTTTATATTAAAATATATAAAGTAAATATATAAAGTAAGAATTAACAGTAACAATTCCAAGTCCGAGGACTAGATTTAACTTAAAAGGTACACCCGTAGTAAGTATGAGACCTTAGCCTATAGTGACATGGAAACTAATTCTGCAGAAACCTAAAGGTTAACTGGTACTAGAATTAAGGCCGAGTGCAAATGTGTAGTAATTATATAACACTAGGATATAACAGGCAGGACACAAAGAATAACTAATAAGTGAGAGACCACATAACACGTAATGTACCCGGCCAAGAGGCCGTAAAAGACCTAATGAATAAGGAGAAGGGGGTGTGACTATAAGTAGGGCTTACTAGCACCTAGACTGCCCTTTGTGAGGGCAGCGGCGGGGGCAGGCGGAGTGAGGGCAGAGCCCCACTGTGCGCCCGTATTTATACGGCCCGAGACTGCCCGCGCAACGCCGCGGGATGCGCTGCGCAAATGTTTCTTTCTCCCCCACCAGAAATATCCCCGCTTGCGATCAAGCAGTGACCATTTTCAGACAGACAGTATGGTTTTCGATCTGGGTCTTGAATAGTAGGCTGAGAAGTGAGTTCTGGCTACTAGGTACGATATATATATATATATATATATATATATATATATATATATATATATATATATATATATATATATATATATATATATATATATATATATATATATATTTACATACATACATACACATACATACATACATACATACATACATACATACATACATACATACATACATACATACATACATACATACATACATACATACACATACATACATATCGGACAATTAGTAAAAAAAAAAAAAATACACAAATTAAAATTTTTACCTTGTACCTGATCCACCAGGCCTGTTTGGTGCATGTTTCAGTACTTCAGAAATTTGGAAGGTCACATCCTCCTCAACTTGTGGATGTGTGTTGATAGATGATTCTGTAAAATTAAGTTATTTATATAATAATAAATTCAGTATAACAATAATATTCTGTAAAATTAAAAGTAATTTATACATCAATCAGATAAAACTCTCCAGAGATGGTGATACACAACATATAAAGGACAAGTTTCAGAACAAGATATGCATTTAGGAATAAGGTTTTGCACATGTAGGTAGCACATGAGAAAAAAGTGGAAGGTGATCAAGTTAATATTAACACGTTAATGGCTTTGTTAAGGCTTTGCAAGAATGAAAAAATATTAATAATATAATATCACCGACCAATTAATTGTACGTTGTTTATAAGTCAATTATTTGCATTATTATTATTATTATTCAATACTAATGATATAAAAA